TGTAAAATACAGGCAAAAATATGAGGATGGTTATTGAGGTCATCGCCTGGCGTCGCATGATGCATAAGAAGGTGGCGACCGTGAAACGCTAACTTTAAGACATTTACAGTAAAGCCTCCTGAGGTAGTATAGTTACTACCTTCTGCAGGTGGACTATTATGGTCAAGCAACAACTGATACTGTAAGACATTTACAGTAAAGCCTCCTGAGGTAGTATAGTTACTACCTTCTGCAGGTGGACTATTATGGTCAAGCAACAACTGATTTTCAACAGCGTCAAGCTGATACGCAATCGTAAGAAATTGGGATGCACTATCGACTAAGAGTGCAAACACGTGAAGTAGAATAAGAAATACGATGAGCGAAGAAGAGAAAAAATGAAAGGACAGAGAGGCAGAGAGACAGACAAACCAGAAAGACAGAAAACAGTGTCTTCTTCTTCTTTGTTTTAGTGTATTCTTACTTCTTTCAGTGTTTTACAATTTTTTTTACACTGAGCAAAGGATACAAATCCAAAAACAAAGACACATAGAAATCATTCAATTTCTCGGTCTTCTTAACTCCTCCGCTGCCCCTCTCACGTACAAGGCCGCCACGTTGATGACGTTGAGCGAGATCGAGCTGGCCCCCCCCATCCCCGTAGAGCATAACAGACCACTTGCATATAGTTATAGCACGGGATACATATATATTGCCACAGTGGAAATCGGAGCGCAAAGGCGGAAAAAGACAGAACAAGAAAAAGAAAAAGAAGGAAGGAAAGCCCCACCTGTTCGTCACCTCTTATATATAGCAAACATCCACGTGGGCGGCGAGCTAGTACGCAAGAAAGAGGTTCTGAACAGGGGGAGTTGTACTAAAGAAGATTAAATAAAAACGAATTATTTTTTTATTGTTCTCTTCTGTTTTTTTCGACTTTGCGGTCTGTTACACTGTGTGACGATATTTATATATAGCACATACTTTCGTTTCCTTTTTTTCCTTTTTTTCCTCTTTTTCCTTTTTTCCCCTTGTTCACGCACGTGCGGCGGTGTCGGGTGCTACCGTCTTCCCCCGAACACAACGCACCCCCATTTTGCCTGTATCGGGCCGGAAACATACCTTGTATACGTTCATTTTCAGGTTGCGTTATGTTCGGGGGAAGACGCTAGTGGTTATAGTGGTTAGCGTCCCCCTGAGGAATGCCGGTGCGTTAGAAAAAAAAAAAAAAAAAAAGGAGTGCTGGTGAGTAACCAGCAAAGTGACTATCACGGTGATACGCCTCTCTCTCTCTCTCTCTCTCTCTCTCTCTCTCTCTCTCTCTCTCTCTCTCTCTCTCTCTCTCTCTCTCTCTCTCTCT